GATAAGAAGGTCATAAGGAACCCAAAGTAATGTTCATATACATTGCAATATCGCAGGACATCGACCATGTCACTGCAGCAACATCGGGCAGCAATGTATTAGCCACTCATTGGCAAGTTATGAACGTGTGTGGACAAGTTCCATAAGTAGACTTGTTCATGTTCCTTATACTCCAGCACGTGGTCAAGTCCATGGCAAGAAGGTCATGAGACATCATCAAAGAAAAGTATAGACTGCCATGTTTTGATTTATGTATGGGACTGCAATGCAAGTATGAGCCATTATGTGTTTATCAATGGATAATCAAGAACCATAATGACCAAGATAAGTGATCAGAAGTGTGTCTGGTCGTGGCCTAAAGTGTATAGCATTGCAGAATGCAAGAGTTATCAGACCATAGAGTTCATGGATGTGTTTTGGTCGAGACCTATCCGACCAGAACCTAGTACGGTCAAGACAAAGAGGATATGACCATCTGAACCAAGATACCCACGTGAAAGCCAAGTGATTTGGGTCTATGACTCAGTATATATGAAGTGTCCACGGTATGGCTAAGGCCATATGACTAGATGATCCGTGGGACATGAGTGGACCTGCGAAGTAATGACTGATCGCATATTAGAGTTCCATCCGAGTACTGGTCGAGTACCAGCCATCCGACCAGGACTTAATGTGGTTAGTTGCACGACTGAACCAAGTCCTAATGGAGTTCCAGAAGACATAGAAGACGTCCAGTTCAAAGTAGTACTCACACATGAGTTTTCCCAGAAGATATCAGAAGTTCGAGTTCGGTCCAGCAGCAACCTAGCCGACCAGTTTACCAGATCTCTACCGACCAGATTGGGATGCATCAGACATTTTAGTGATGCATTCATCAGGGGGAGTATCATGTGTTGTACTCTTTTTCCTTGTCTAAGGTTTCTATTTTTCCCACCTTGGATTTTTGGTTTTCCTAGAGAAGGTTTTAACGAGGCAACATTAAGCATGGTACAGGCCCATATGGTTAGGCCATCCAAGGGGGAGTGTTATGGACGATTATGTGGATGGGCCATAACCATAGACCAAGACCAAGAAGACCTAAGGCTCACACGCCTTTACCCAAGACAAGAGAGCAACCGACATTACCTTATTCCTTGTCGGCCAAGACTTACCATTTATGTGTACTTAGGTTTTGGATACTTTCCATTTATCTCTTCTTGTAAGTCCTTATATAAAGGAACCTATATTCATTCAGTAATAATACACAGAGAATTCCCCATTACTTCTCTCATTCTCCTCTTGGTTTACAACAATGATTAATTTTTTCTTAGCCCTCTGCATTTTGATTCCCTTTGTTACCCTTTGATTCTCTTGATGTGCGCTTATCTTTAGAATCAGAAAACCCTTGAATCAACTGCAGTAGACCCTTGAACCATACATGTTTCAATAAGAAACAATCTTTGATTCACCTTGCAAAGCAATCTCTAAAATGCATCTTAGTCAATGACCAATGCATTTAGAAAACCTGAGATCGAACTCGCTGCCTTTTGTTTGAACAACCATAAACTGAATTATTTCTTGTACCGCCATCATCACTGATGAAACACGCCTCCAAACTAAACCTGTAGGGAAGACTTTCGACACAACCATCCATTCAGTTTGTGGAGTTTTAAAAAAAATAAACCCCGTTACCAGTAGATCATCACCACTAGCAAAGAAATATAAGTCTCTTGTCAATGGCTGAACCATGACACCTGAAACTTCCTTGTTACAGCCACTTTCTATCACATCTTAAGCTTGCGACAGACTGTCTTTGACTGTAATACCTGTTCCACAATACATGCTGCTTGTATCTGTGAATCCACCAAAAAACAAACAGTTTGGTGCTTGCATCACAACAATCTTTGGACTTCCAGTAGAACCCCTTCTGATTCATCCTTCTGATTCATCAATACCCTATGACATATCCTTGAATTGATGTATCCTCACATGAGTTTCATTCACTTTCGTCCTCCAAAAAAAGAATCTCCTTAAATTTTTTTTTCTTGTGATGCCGAAAGAAACGAAGTCTAGCTTTACTTGTTTCTTACTACCAATGCATAATATCAAATCATGCATTTACATCTTTTCTTAGACGTCTAGATTCTAGAACACGCTCAGCTCTTCTTGTATACCTTTGCAATTGCTTTTCTTGAGAAGCTGTCCACATACTTACCCTAATGCAAACCGATATAACCAACTCTTCCACTAGTTGTTAACTCCAAATTCATATGTGTTCTTCTATAGAATCCTTCTCCTCGTTGCTTCTATAGACTTGATAAAGATCCTGTCAAACTTGACGATATGAGCAATATCTCATAACCCTTGAAGTGAATAACCATGAGCCCAAATTCTGCTAAGAACCTGCAGATTTCTCTGTCATCTCGGCTGTTTACCCTTCCTTTAAACACTTCCTCTTCTTTATCCAAGCTTAACCATTCAGTAGTCCGTATTGATCATGTATCCAGCAACTTGTCTTTCCTAGTGAACCATTTTCAACCTTGTTCACTCATTTGCCATTCTTGAATTTCTATACACACTCTCCAGCCATGATCTTTGTATATATCAGTGAATAATCCACGTTAAACTTTCATTCTCTGAAGCCTACTCAAACAACTCAGATCACACATGCTTGCTAATCTGAAAAGAAACACCCAGAACAATTTCTTTTTACACGTACAGACGTACTGCCCCTGAAACTATCTCATAGCTCCACCTGGACCATGATAATATAAGAAACGTCTCCTATATGCTCAGCTCCACCTCTTGAGTTTAACCAGTTCACTGTTCAATCTTAAACTACTCAGGACCTTAGTGTGACTTGAGAAACCAGGACCTGTGTTAGCTGTTTAGACATCCCGTTCAATGTGCACACACTAATTAACATCTCTTCCTAAGAGAACCACCAAGAACTTTGCTACCCTTGAAGTATTTCCAAATCTGCTTTCTACCCTCAGATTTGTCCCTTTTAGAGTTTACTCTCAACTCCCTTGAACTCTTTCTTGATAGTATTATCCGACTATCAGACCTCGTGCAATATCTCACTTGCTCTACTTTCATTTACGTAACACTTAACATGTTTCACCTTGTGGACTAGTGAAATTAAAATCCTTGATGCATCTAAAGTAGTAAAACCTGAGATCTTGAGTTCATTCAACATCCAAAAATACTTCATTGATTTGTAGCCTTTAGCTACTAATTGACTTCCTGTAGCCTTCCTTATGGTAGCACCTCTGCTAATTTCCCGTTAGCAAATTATTCCTGCCAAGTCACCTTCTGAAACTTCTTGTTGATATAATTGTAACTCATGCTTGAGTATTTTACAACTATTCCCATCGCCTCACGTGTAAGAAAACCTTTTTCTGTTCCCACAAGTAGAACTTGTTACAACAAAACCATTGCATTGTCGACAAGCAATTTCTGATTCTTCTCCATCAGATTCTTCTTGAGGCGTCCTTTCGACGTTGTTTCCACTTGACTTCTGATGATCAAAAAAACAATTCAGAGACCATGATCATCATACCTTTGAGCATCTTAAAAATCTTCCTGAACCAATAACCTTAATACTGAGACTTATTATCCTTCATGTTGTCTTCTCAAAATCTTTCCCATAAAACCTGAAATCTTCAGATTATGAACACTGTCTGCCGTCTCTTTCTCAGAATCCATGAAACCCTTAACATATATCAGAACAGCTAGTTACACGAATAGAGATCTAGGAACTAAGGCGTCCCCTAGTCCTAATCACTCCATTCTCCACAGCTGCTTTTGATATACTTGAACACCATCTGTATCAGTCCTTTTACCATCATACTTCATAAAGAATTATCCTAGAAAACCAGCGCTGTATCTTGATCAAATTCTTCTGTAAAAACTTGCGTACAGATCTTGTGTTCAAACCAGATTTAACCTTCTAGAATTGCAGAACAAAATCTCATTGACAAATCGTCAACATGTTCATCACAAAGCTCTTTTGTGATCGCAGCGGAAATAGACATAATCTCTTCTAGACTTGAGACATGAAGTTGATTTATTTGAAAAAGACCTAGACCTTTAGCCAACGGCTCTTAGTCTGTCTTTACCATAAACCAATCTTGTGATATCCTCCATCACAAAAATAACAAAACCAGTCTCACGGTTTGTTGGTTAGTTGCAGGACAGAACCTTCCTTTTTCCTTGAGCTTGTGTACCTCTCCTGAACCATGAATACCTTACCCAAGCTCTGATACCACTTGTTAGGATCTTAACTTCGAATCACGCATATACATCATGATTCTTCACGGTTAAAACACAAACTTAAAAGTAACTTTGACACCAAGATTTAACGAGTTCCCCTACGCAAGGGTACATCTCGTGTGGGAACCTCCTCCCACAAACATCCACTATCTTATCAAAGGTTTACACAACGCTCTTAACCAGCGCTTCTTTGTGTTTCAGGTACAAGGCTTAAAGAGAAACAATAACAAAGACAATGAGAAGAGTACTAAAGGTGGAGACTCAAACTCCCACTTTCTATGGAGATCATCTTCTTCTCTCTTTGATACTCTCTTTCTCTCACCAAGCTATGAAGACTCCGTAGCTCTCGTGCCATTACGGCACCCTACGGTGAACCTCTATTAAGGTTACTTTCTTTGAACGTCTTTTACCTTCTTTTATACGCAAAAGATATTGCCGACTTTGATTACTTAATGGGCTGCACCATATTGTGATCCATTCTCGATTTGGGCCAAGAGATTAAATGACTGAGGCCCATAACTTACAGTAATGAAATCTTCAGACTCGGTTTAGTACTCAATCTCTCTTGTCTTGCACCTCTCGCAAACTCAAGAGTCTGATAACCGTCTCAGACCTCTGCGTCTCTCTCTCTCTCTCTCTCTCTCTCTCTCTCTCTCTCTCTCTCTAATTGATCACCACAAGTTAGCATTTTCCCAAAAGTTTGAGTTTTTATATAGAAATGATTGCTTTTTTTTTTTTATAGGAAGATGAGTGGTGGTGAAGTTGTCGTAGCTGCTGCTAGAGTCTACCGTGACCTTCTTAAACCAGTTGTGAAAACAAGTCTCATTTCACAGACTTTGTCAAGAACGAGTTTTGGAAGAACGCACACACAGTCCAGAATATCAACCTTGCCCGCAACTACACTTATCTTCTTAATAGCATTCACTCTCACAAGGTTTGATGCTTAATGGCAGTGCCATTTTGTTTGTACATATACAGACTTGTTTTTTTTGTGTGTGTTTATATAGTCTCTCATAAATTGGTTATTGCAGGATCTGTTGTTCTCATACAACATTGCTGTTGATAGAACTGAAGAAATGAAGCGAGTGCTTGGCAAATCTGCAGCTAGTGTTGGGCTTCGTCTTCCCGAGGTGTACCAGCCTTGATCATCCCACATTCTCTGGTCTCTTCATTTCCTTTACAGATCTTGGGTAACTTTGGAATAAGTTTGATACTCTTTGTAGCCAGACAGATCTCAGATGCATGGATTGCTTTTTATTATTACCATATTAGTTATCGGATGAAAAAAAATATGGTACCAGTAACATGCTATATATACAAGATATGTTGAGTTAACTATGAAGCCACCAAATTGATGGCAAACTGTGATATAGTAAAGTAATAGTTATGCTGTTCCACAGGAACTTGTCTACTAGGTTTTCAAACACCACTTGATCTTGAAAAGCCCTACTGACTTTATCAGCACCTTGATATATCGTCAAATTGTGATAATAAAATATTCACTTTCTCATCATAATCTCTTTTAATATTCTATTTTACTCGAAGTCCAAGTATAGCTTTGAGGTTTCAAGATTTGTATAGTTTCTTGTGGCTTGGATAACATTACAAGCTAATGTTGGAAAAAATACTGAAAATGGACAAAACAAGGATCTAAACGTTCCCAATTATGTCTCAAAACTTTCTTGACATGACACAATCTTAACCACATTTGATAAACCTTGGAGATGCTATGTAAGAAAGAGATTAAAGGCGTAGACTGCGGAGAGAAGCTTGGCATCAACAGGTAAAGAGATGGATGCAGAGGAAGCTGACCTGAATTCAAGTCAGTGAAAAGAGGGGAGAAGTTGTTAGACCGTTACACGGTTGGGCCAAGGTCATTAGGCAGTTGGGATAAGGACTTAGTATAAATAAAGAGTGAAAAGAGAATAAACTTTGGGCCAAGTGGATTGTAATAAGAAACTTAAAGTGTTTAGCTTTTCTTTGAGCTCACTTGTGGAAATACCGTAGCAACAGTTGTATTCCATATACAGTAAACTAGGATAAGACATGCATCTTGCGCATGATGAATTTATGTAACTAAAATATAAAATTTTAGTATTAACAAATTTAAATTTTACATATGACTGTTTTTATATGTATTTTGTAATTATAGAATTTTGGAATTTTTTTTATAATTATCTATACGTAGGATCAGAAACAATTGTAATTAGAACTGTATATCAAAACTTAGAATTTAATGGACCCGATTTCATATATCTTTTCACTTTTCAGTGTTCGACTGATGGAAAATAAACGGAGTGTCACTGAGCTTGATTAGTAGATTATTAGCAAGTTCTCTAATGTTTTCTTAAGAAGCAGTTGGTAGACTAGTTGTATTTAAAATATATAAATTTTTAAAACTAATTTAAGATAATTTATTTATTTGTCTAATAAATTAGAAATTTATATTTTTTTATAAATTATTATTTTACATAATTTTATAAAAAATAAGTGAAAATTAAATTATTTATTAAAAACAAATTATTTTTAAAACAATATTTAAGTTTTTGAAATAAAAATTAACAATTTAAAATTAATTATGGTCATGATTTAACATAACCATAATGATTTAAAAAATTAAAAAATTAACAAATTAAAAATTCACTCAGTTTTATATCATAATTTAACAATTTAAAAATTAATTCTGGTTATGAGAAATTTATGTTCACGTATCAATCCTATTTATCTTCATTTTTTTCTAGTTGTGTTTTTTTGTTATTTTGGTTATTACTCAACATCAAATACTTAAGATTTAAAATAATTAAAGAGATACCTACTTAGGTTAAGATCTGCACTTTATGCACAATAAATATTTTATTTTTCTTATTTATTTTATATTTTTCTGTAAAAAAAAAAAATATATATATATATATATATATTAAATAACTAATAAATCAGTTACTATTATGTAAAAAATTGGCGTATGCATATAAATTTAACTATCACTCTTGTTTATTCGCAGTTAGTGTAAATAAATCAAAATTATCAATATTATATATCGTATATGATATATAATTAAATTTAAATGATATAAACATAGTAATATAGCACACTTTTAATATGGATATTTATTAAATGAGGTTTCTACTCATATGATTTTATGATTATTTTTATATTTGTGTAAAAAAACTTTAAACCAACGATTTTTTTTAATGTGAGATTTTTAGTAGTTCCAACAATTTATAATCATTTAAAAAAAACAATGACATATTTCAAAATTAAAATATTAACTTTTCAATATATGTTCAATGCAAATATCAAAATATAAGTATGTATTTTCATATGATGTATAATTTAATTTAAACGATATGAAATATATGTAAAATAAAATTATTTCTTCATATGGTCTTATAATCATTATATTTTAATATAGAAAAATATTAAAACCTTGATCCTAAAAGTTTATGTGAGACTTTTAACAGTTTTAGTAATTTATACTCGTTTTGAAATACAACATCCACAAAAAAGTCTAGATTTTTATTATATGATTAATGGAATTGTGTAATTTATTTTAATAATAAAGAAATAAACAAAATGATAAAAGTATACAAATTGTTATCAAATCTTTATTGTTTAAAATCATTAATTGTCATATATATATATTTTAATCACATTAGGTAATTCCGTAGGTTTTATTTAAGGAAAGTCTGCGAAACAATAAATATTTGATATATGCGACCAACTATAGCTTACAAAATATTATATTGCTAGATAGTATAATTTTAGACTATAGTTTAAGTTAGAAGCTCTAGAATCATTCTATTTTGAAATAGAAGGCATAGAGAGGTGGAACGTAGGATTGGGTTATTTTTTAATTAATACAAATTTAAGGTTACATCTTTTCAAATGTTTCTCAATTAATATATAGGGGATACGATACATTAGTTGTACTTGTATCCTTTGGTGCGGTGAGTACCATATAGATCATGGGGCGAAGCCAGGCTTTATACTAGTCCTGGGCATATAAACCGGATCCGGAAAACCCGACCCGACCCGATCCAATAAACCCGGAACCATACGCCTTCGGTTTCCTATAATTACCTGATCGGTTTCCATTCTTCAGAGATTTGGGTTACGGTTCAGATCAGGTGAAACCCGGAACCGTTCGCTTTATCCGAAAATCAAAGCATCATTATTAGCAGTTTCCCGCATGTCTCTCATTTATCTCGGTACTCGAAGTCTCTCTCGAGTCTCGACCCAATGTAACCGTTAGAGAGTTCTCCTAGAGGACCTAGACGATGATTTTGTTGCTTCTCTCAAGGTTTAAATGGAATCCCTTAAAGGTGTTGTCACTTCTCTTTCACTATTTCATCGAGGAAGTTCATCTCCATGTCTGCCTCCGCGATATCCTCTCTCAGCTTCTTCAAGGAATCAATCAAAGGTATGAAGTGAATCATATGAATGAAGTTCTAGCTTCTCTAATTTGTTTTATGTAATCGGTTTAACACTTAGATAAAGCTATAATGATGTTTGTGATTGTGATTGTGAATCTGTGATTGTTTTGAACTTTTGAGACTTGATAGTTATGATTGTGTTCTTTATAAACTTGAGAACTTGAGATTGTGTTCTATAATAGAGTAAATGACTTTTTTCGTTTTTTTTTGTGATTTTAATGTGTTGAGAACTTGAGATTGTAATGAATCTGAAAGCTTGAAAGCGTTGAGAAATTGTGATTGTTACTGTTTCTTTGTGCTATTTTGTGATATGTTGAGACTTGAGAACTTGAGCTCATGTCAGTTTTGTTTTGCAGATGGATTCTTCATCACCTCAAAATGAAGTTACCAGAGATGATGATGAAACTAAGGGAAACGAAGAGGAGCTTGGGACAACTAGTCCTGCTAAGGAAGAACAAGCCAGCTCCAGCTTTTAAGAACAAGAAGAAGAAGAATACAAGTACAAGGTCACCAGTTTGGGATCATTGCCACTGTCATTTGTTCAGAGTTTGGGATGGAGGCACTTCTGAAACAAAATTAACTTACCTAAGCCACATTCACACATAACAGCAACAAGGGACATTGTAGAGTTGTATGCGATGAAGAAATCAGCTTTGATGCAGCTGATCAGTGGCAATAAGCAAAGGGTTTCTTTAACAACATACATTTGGTTGCACCGAGTACCTCAGCTAGCTATATGGTCATCACAGCACACTTCATTGATGCGAGCTGGAAGGTTAAGAAATTCATCACTGGTTTCAAGCATGTAGCGGATCATAAAGGGACGAAAATCTGTTCTGTCTTGCTTGAGTGTTTACAATAATAGTAGACAATGCCATTGCAAACACTAATGCTCTGAATCTGTTTAGGGATGCATTCAACGCTTTTGGACCTGAGTTCTTAGTATTGGGAGGTGAGTGTCTGCATTTACGTTTTTGTGCTCACATCATCAATTTGGTTGTCCGAGATGGTTTGCACGAGGTGGATGCGAGTGTGTCTGCAATCAGGAATGCCATACAATATATCAGAGCTTCTGGGAAGAGAGTTGATGCATTTGATCAGAAGGTTGAGTCAGCAAGGATTACAAGAGGTAGCTTGACTTTGGATTGCAAGACACGATGGAATTCAACTTACCTAATGTTATCAAGAGCTGTGAAGTTTAGGGCAGGGTTTTACAGAATGAAAGTTGACGACAAGCTTTACGATGATCACTTTCAAGAGACTGTGGAGGGCAAGAAGAGAGTTGGACCACCAACTTCAGATGATTGGGATAAAGTGGAGAGCTTGGTTAAGTTCCTGGTAATATTCTATAATTCCACTTTAGTTGTCTCTGCATTTAACTCACCTAGTTCCTACAAGTGTTACAATGAGATTGTTACCATAGAAAGAAATCTGATTACGTTGGGTACTAGTTTGGATGAGAAGCTTACGCTAAAGGCTATGGTTATGAGAGCAAAGTTTAATAAGTATTGGGATGGTCTTAAAGACATTAATAGGCTGTTGAATGTTCCAAGTTTTCTTGACCCGAGGAACAAGATGAAGTTTGCTGGTCTTTGCTTTGAAAAAAATTATGAGAAAGATAGTCCACAGGGTAAGGTGCTCAACGACTCAGTCATTGATGTTATCAAAAGACTTTTTGATGAGTACAACGGCTTTGGGGCATCAAACACTGC